CTAGAAATTTAGAGAAAAAAATCATACTAAAATTTTGATCGAAAAAAAAAAGATAAAAGTGAAAATTTTAAATCAGGACTAAATTAAAACTAAGCACAGACTATGAAGGTTAAATCGAAACTTCCAAAACTATAAGGATTAAATTGGAATCATAGCTAAACTATACAGACTACACTTCAACACTAGAGTGAAGATTACCTTGTGTTGCTTTTTAATCATCATTTTTTTGGATTAGGAATTTATAACCATCATTATTATATTTAAGTCTGAAATGGATGGTTTTTACTTAAAAAAAAACACAAATAGAACTCCAACATATTTATGGAATAACTAACTAATAGGGACCTTTTTTCCTTCCTTTTTTAGTACAGCCAATTCGGAACTTGAACCTCCAATCTCAAGCATAAGAAAAAAAGAGTTATGTGTCTTTACCGTTGTGCTATACTTATTGTCAGGGTCTCTTGATCGCATTGCCCATTTTCTAGTTTAATGTTTTCGAAATTCAAGCATGCCAGTAGAAAAATAAAGCCAACTAGAATCTGAAAGGGAAGCAGCATCTGGAATAGTAACCAAAGCTTAGACTAGACAATCATTCAGGCTTAATAGTTAAGAACGCATCATAAAGAACCAAAGATCTTGGATTGCTTTGCCTCTGTAAAAGCTACAGTGGATCATAAAGGTATCAACAATTCAATCCAACAAAATGATCAAAATAGCATCCATCATTGTGCAGGAGACAGATACAGTTTCTTCATTATTTCTGAAGACCACAAATTTAAAACTATGGAACGTCTCATATTCAAGGAACAGTGGAGTTTAAAAGTAGTTACTCTTGTAGAAGTTTTTGAGAAAATTGGATATGCCCTGATCCTTGGTGCCCAAATCTTGCACAAGCCCTTCGCTACCGACCACATACTGACCAATGATGTGATGCCTCTGCTTTGCATGTTCGGTAATGTTACCAAGCTCTTCCATTCCCTTGAAAAGAAGCATATCAATCACCTGTAAACTTGAAAGGTCAAAAACTGGCAAGAAGTCTTAGCATTTGCAATCGAAGATCACTATGGAAAGATCAGCAAATACAGATTTTTCTTTCAAATAATCGAAGCAAATTATTTTTTGACTATAACCCAACACATTCCTGGAATGTACCAGTCTACAAGTGTTCTCAAGGCATCTTGGGATCGTAAGCTTTTCTCTTGGTGCATGAGGTGCGCAAAAGACACCACTTGAGCGAAGACACTTTTAAAACGTATACATATAGATATATATGTATGAAGAATGTATACATTAGAACTCAGAAGGCGCTCACCTTGGCATACCATTGGGTTGAAGGGGGCTCAACCTCTCTCTCTCCCTATACACACACGCAAGACATATATATATCCCAAGGTGCTCACCTTGGCAGATCATTGTGTGAAAGGAGGCTGAACCAATCCCGCCTATCACCATAAGTGATGTACCTTGGCAGACCGTACACCATGTATGGTTGCCTAAAAAGTATTGCTTTAAACTTGGGGAGATACCTATTGACAGTCCTAGAAACACACTACAAAGCTGCTGCTGTAACATATTATGCTTAATTTACCACACAGGAGACTCGTGGAAATAAACTACAATTTGCAGTACCAACAGAGCCGGTAAAATTTTCCAGGAACAATATGCTATAAGATTTCCCATTCTATGATAAAAAATCCAGGAGAAATTACATGATCCAAGAAAGGTAAAATTTCCCATTGGAGCAAAATTACCAAAAGGTTTTAAGTTGTTTGGATTGGGTCTTTGTTCTATAGAATAGTTAATACCAAAGGGATGATTTTCGAGAAGGAACAGAATATTAAATCTAATTCCTCGGTTACATAAGCGAGCTTGGACCTTTTATTACTAGAGAGGCAGTAAGCTTCCACAAGGTGCAATACTGTAGCAATAACAAGCTCTGGAGTCCAGAATCAGTTAGGCCTCATTTGGAAATTGTGAGGGGTGAGCAGAAAACTTTTAGGGGGGAAGTAGTCAAGTGTCTAGTGTTAAACTGCCAATAGCATTTTTTGGGTGTTTTGTCTTAATCAAATATTTTAATAACCTCTAAAACAAAGAACATAGAGAAAATGTCTCAATTCACACAACTGATAGCACAAAAATTACAAATAACATTCACCTGGCAGCAACTGTAGAACAACATACAGCAGGTTACACCATAAATAGATACTGATCACAAGAAAGATGATAAACTGACGCAGTAAAAAATTTGAGGAATCAAATTAGTGGTATTTAATTGATGCATAGTTAAATAATAGTAAATAAATAAAATGCATACTCTGGCGTAAAAATAATGCATACATGGGTATGGATAAGATTAATTGATGCATGAGTAGAATTCTATTTGTTGTAACCAAATGGACTTGTTTTTCTTTTTTTGGTAAGAAACAAGAGAACATATTTAACTCTTCAAGAGAAGAATAAATCTTTCGTTAGTAATTATACAGGGATAGTAATTATGATAATCTCACAGAAGTTTTGTATATTTATTTATTTTTTGATAGGAAACAACGTTCATGGATAAATGAAATTTACAAAAGAACAAAAACTCTCAAGGGGCAATCAAAAAGGCACCACAAATGGAGTTAATTGACCCAGATTTAACACTCTTGTTTCTTTCTAACTGGAGACTCCAATGTAACAATTTAATTGCATTGACCCACAATTTCTTTAATTTGGTTCAAAGTAAAACCTCTTTTGTAGGAACATTTTTAAGCCAGCAGCAGCAGCAGAAAGAAGCAATCAAATGCATTTTAGGCCTAGATTTTTGTAAACTTGTAATTGCACGCCTATCTTCCAATGACCTCCTTTGAAACAAACTCTCCGAAAAAGTCATAATTAATTGGTTGTCCAAAGAATACTACCATCAAATCACCTCTAGCACTGAAAGAACCAATCCATCTTTCAACAATGTCCCACAATTAGAAGGAAGAGCCCCAGAAATACAAAGCGAAGGGAATAGATCACCCTCACCCACAAAAAACGCAAGTCATCTACATTTTCCACGCAACCCAATATGCCCGCTCTTAAGGAGGGAGCAATCATTTAAGTTCAACAAATCACCTGGACGTGTTGCAATTCCAAGTGATGCCACACTAATGTACACTTAGGGACCCTAGCCATTGCATCTACAGGAAAAGGCACCAGTATCTATTCGATTCAGCAGGAATAACTCGCTAGGAAAAGAAAACCAAGAAATTCCTTTCTCAGATGTTTGTTTCTAATCGACACACCGACAGGACCAATAAGGGAACGAAGGATTTCAACGAAATTCCGCAAGACCGCCGAAAAGCACATAGAGATGATCAAAATAAACGAGAATTAAGAGGCATATGATTGTTTAGTGCAGGAAAGCGACACCTTAGGGTCGTTGATGTGAGAATTCTTGCGGATCTGGGAGGCGACGGAGGAGCGGAGCTGAGAAATGGTAGCGACATCGTCTAAGTTGTAGATGTCCATGATTGTTGGTAATGATCTACATGCTGATCTGAAGAAGTCGAAAACTCGATTTCTGGCTTCTTCAAGACTCGCGGAGTTCGGCGGAACCTTCAGAGCTCGGGCTGTGAATGCCATTTCTCTCTCTCTCTACTCTCTCTCGCCAACTCAATGAGTGAACTCGCTCGGCGATTGCTGTTCGCGCTACCCCCACAATCTTCCACGCGCCTAGTTTTTCTTTCTCAATTTTGGTAAATTGCATGATATTATAAATAAATAAATCATTTTCTATTTTTTGGGTGGAAAGAATAAATCCTTACGCTTCAAATAATTATGGTTTTTTTAATAATTAACTTGTTTATATATATATATATATATATATTTTATATAGTACAATGACGTGGGAATGGAGTCGCTGAATTATGCTCATGTACTCCATTGTACATTTTGAAGATTTAGAGTTTTACTATTATAGATACATGTCTAATCATTAGAATTAACTACTTAAGACACCAATCTCATATTAAAAAATTGTGAGTTCGAATCTCTATCCAAACATGCCGTACAAAAAAATAATATTTTATTTCAATTTAGATTTAATTTAATATCTATATTTTAGTTAAGTCTTCTTAACATTTATGTTGCTACATGACAGCATTATCAAATGTTAAGACGATAATGTTTCGTTATTTTAGATGTGAAAGTTAAGGTTCTTGAAAATCAAATACTCTTATTGACCGGTTGATCGTTAGAGACACACTTGCTACAAGCGGATATAATGCACAGATACCTTCTTTGTGTGTCCAATGTCCAAGTATGGAGTCTCGAGATCACCTTTTTTTCGAGTGCCCGTTCAGTAGATGGTGACCATCGTATCTATCCTAATAGCATTTCCATCACTTACTCTATAGAAATGGATGGAAATGCCCACCCGTTCTCCCAAACGCGTCTTCTATCCAATACAATCGCTCCCAACCTCCTTGGAGTCGGGCCTGGAATGTCTTGAACCTGTGAAAATCAGGTTCTCACAAAACATGCACGACCACAATGAATGACCCAAGACATGCATGACACTCCCTGATGCTTCAATACTGTGTGTGACCAATACAAGGAAGAAATACAAAACAGATTCACATCCTTAAAAAATCATGGTCTATTCTTCATTCCGGCAGAAACTAGTAGTGAAGGCAAAAGCTCTATAACAGTTAGAGAAATATTTTGGAAAACCACATTAGAAGTTTATAGATCAAGTATTACATTTCGCCACATTCAGCGATAACGCAAGCCAGCTTCGGTCGGTTATTAGGTCCAGTAGCTACATTCTCAATCTTCCTGACAACCAAAAGTCCGTCGCCCAGAACTCTCTGCAAAGATTATCACAAGGATGATTAAGCTACATTTCATCCAGGGAGCAGAAATAAAAAACGAAAAAATTCGGATTCAAGAATTTCTCTGAACTACATAATATAGTTGGAAAATCTAGTCATCCATGTCCTATAGAAAGCAATACAATACTACGATCAAAGAATATGCAATGGCAATAAGAAAAAGGGAAAACAAGCATATCGAAACAAAAATGGATGCAACATGCAAGTAGAAATTATGCATGTAACATTATGATATTTAAGATCACAATAATGAGATACTTCCCTCCAATGGGTCAACCCAGGAAAGATCATGCTATGATTCTCATTGCCCAGATGGTTTTATATATATATATATATTTTTTTTTGGAGAAGAAAGATGGTTTTATATTTTTAAGTAACACAAATGTTGCAACTAAAATATACTACTAAAAGTTGAAGGACTTGGAGAATACCCCAAACACCACATGCTTGTTGTCAAGCCAATCGCATTTGGCACAAGTAATAAAGAACTGCAGCAAAAGGTAATCAATATAAGAAGAAAATACATGGTGTAAAGCTAACAGAGATAATAACCCGCCAGAACAAATCACATAGACCATCCTTAACATTACAATTGTTTTGTCATATCAAAGATAGTAATTCACCATATGAGATTTTTTTTTTTAACAAGAAACCAACTTTTCATTGATAGATGAAGAGCAACATAAAATACAGACAATTATTCAAACTTCTAAATCCATATTAACCCTCATAGATTAACAAATAATCATTTGATTTTTTTCCTCACTCTCCCTTAGCAGTGGGGAAGGAATTCAGAGTGGCTAGAAAGCATGTGTAGGAGTCATCTGGTACGTATTTAAAAAAAAAAGGAACTATGTAGAAGACTGGAAGTTCAATTCATCTATCATCTAAATAACTCAACTCTGAACACTCACGTTTACAGAATGAGGAGAACATTACATTACCACAGAGATATTACATTTTTTTTTTAATAAGTATTCCAGAGGAAGGGATATAGAAGGGGGATTAGATATATCCATGTGAGCCCAGGTATCAAGGATTTCCAAGAACACGATATAGGGACTGCAATAAGGTGCTAGTACGGTATCCTCTATTATAAAGAAACAAAACCATTTTCTTTGACTTCAAGTGTGTGTGTGAGAGAGAGAGAGAGAGAGATGAGTTTTTAAGAACCTGACATCCATTAGTGCCGGGCCCACTATTTGCCTGAAGAAGAAACAGACGTCATCAATAACACATTGCAAGTGATACATAAAAAGTAAAATTTGTGCGATGATCAGACTACATAATAATATTAGTGACCGGTGATATTCTCAACATAATACTCTAAAATGTAAACAAATCTGTACTTGTATTAAGTCGATAGAAGAGTACAAAAAGAGAGGAAGAACAAACAAAACCTTCCATCTCACCAAAATTTTTCCAACTAAAGACTTAATGCTAGGACCTTGGAGGCATCTCCAAATATCCAAGCCCTTAAGGCCATCCCTCGAAGGTCCAACACCTTTAATTTTAATGATGCAGAAGATTAATTGAAGATATTATCATGCATGCATCCATTTATGAAACTGAAAAAATATTACTGAGAATAAATTTAAGCAACATAGGAAAAATTACACAACATAAATTAAGCACTAAATCTCATCTCAAACAGAAAATCATACCATTGACAATAAACCAGGGCCGGTGTGTTTAGCAACAAAATTTTCATCCTCAAACTTATGTCCATAAATAGAAACATATCCACTGCCATCACCCTGAAAAACAAAGAGACCACCATAAAAAAGCTTATATATGTTAAGGGGAAAAGGAGCATGAGAAATAAGCAACAAAGCCGTGCAATTAAAACAAAGACAATTTTCTTAATTTAGAACAAAAAGAGATGATTAAGTACATATTTTTAAACTTTAAAGTTTTAAACAAATGACTTCTGGAAACAGGAAGGAACTATGTTAACAATGAAAGAGATCTTCACCCTCAATTAAAGAACAGAAATGTACTTTATGCCTAAAGGTTGACCTTAGTTATGAAATTGTAATGAGTTTCATCTAACAAGTCAGAAGAAACATAACTGCAAAATGGTTGTCTTTATCACTTTGCCTTTTCATATAAGGAATCTCTATGAAAATTTGTTCCAATTCCCATGGTAGTCAACAAAAAGAGGACATGGAGCGCCAAATATAAAGATTTATATGCTGCTTAGTGCTCTCATCAACAGTCAACACAAAGTCTATACCTAAGACACATATCAGTTAACACCAAGAATAGTCCAAAAATATGCCAATCGATTGGATTACCTTGACAAAATCACCAGCTTGAATCATGAAATCCTTGATTACTCTATGGAATTGGCATCCCTTATAACCAACAGGCAATCCAGCTTTCCTGTCAATTGAGACCATGAGTTGAAATAAGTTCACCAAACAGGAAACAAACTTGCATTGGAAAAGCCTTACGGCTAGTTTTCACCTTTTAAAGTTGTGCAGAAATTTTAATCGAATATTAAATTAATATATTATAAGAAATATTGGACTCACAAAACTTCATGCGGAAAAAAATAACAAAATGTTCTGACAGGAAAAATACAAACTTAAATAATAACTCATAAAACCTGATTCTAGAAAACAATGAATTTTTAATAGTTCTAAAATGTGGACAAGGAGGTTCGATATAGAGCTAACCTAAATGCCCCTTTTGGCTCTCAACTCTAAACCTCTTGTAAGTCAAGGTTTCCCTATCGTTTTAACTTTGGCCAGATAAATCTTCTTTCTTTTTTAATTAGAAGAGATCCTGTAGCGCTTTTTGCATGTTGATTACATATCCTCTTTTGAATAATATCAGTTTCATTGTTCCTTAATGGCAAGAAGAAAATCTCATACATTCCCTGAATTTAAGCATAAAATAAGTCATTCCATACAAAATTCTTTGTCATTGAAATTCTATAAAAATCAGTGGTTGAGATTTGACACTATTCTAAACCATTTTAAGCCGACACTGAGAGAAATTACAGGGTTCTATCCTTGCATAATTCTTCCTCTCAAGGTTATATTAAAAACTATTTAAATGACTCCTCATACTCAAGCTACATCAATGTTCTACTGCTGATACTAGACATCTACTAACCTGTATTCTCCGGTGCAGAACTGCCTGTCAGACACAAAACAATCCAAGTTAGGGAACTGAAAGAGATGGGAAAAATAATCTCAAAGATATAGTATTTAAAAGAAGCAGGTGATATCATAACCTAAATTTTTAATAAACTAAATAAATACATAGAAGAGAAAGCAATAACTCGAAGAAAAATTCACCATAGAAGACATCAAATACGTACAGCTATATGACTACCCGCAATAATTTTAAATTTTCAATCGGAGGTAAGAGAAGAAAATTGTTGGTTTCCAGGAGAGTTCAAGTTCAAGGTACTTATAATCTTCATCCCAAGTTGCTTCCACTCGTCATATCTTATTGATAAAATGGATTCAATTCAACGGAGACAAATGACACTTCCTCACATCTTTTAACTCAAAAGAAAAAAATCCCAATAATCAATGGAGCAGAATAGACCTCCAACTTCCCCAACAGAAAACCTTCTTCGACTGGTAAATAACTCGCTACGTTTCGCAGCAATCAAATGCAAACTCAAAGAACATTAAAGAGTACAAAGAAGAACAGGGAGAGCAGGGCAGTGACAATACCGAAAATTCTCGGCAGTTTTGGGAGCAATATCGGCGAAGAGCTCCATCTTGATACGGCCGGCGGGAATAGTGCCAATGGTGACGTCGAAGAAAACTACGGGATTCTTAGGGTTAGGTGGCCGGACGTGCCACTCTACGCCTCCACCGGCGGCACCTCCTACCGACGCCATAGTTTTCTCCCCCAAAGCTCTGTGAACTTCAGATACTCAGTTTTGTTGTGGCCTGTGGGAGTGGAACCATGACTTTGCCTGCAATACGATTCCGGTGTTTGGGTCTTACTGTAATTTCATTTCGAGGGAAAAATTACCCGGCAAGTCAAAAGTTCAATTATTTTTGTCCTGAAATTCTTTTTTCTCTCTCTCTTTTTTTTTTTTTTATACAATTGGAAAATGGATTCGAATTCACAATCCTATATATATCAATTAGTATTGAACTATATTCGCTTTGACATTTTTTCTTGAAATTCTTGCAATCACTTTCACTACCTATAATTATCAAATTTGCTTTCAGATCAACTGGAGTCTAGTTGATTTTTTTTTATTAAAAGATCGAATATTCGAACTCTTATTTTCATATGCCGTACTAAAAAGAATGCTCTTGATTTGAGCAAATATTTTTAATTACACTTCAACGATTATTAATTCTAACTTCTGGTTTATAAAAATTGTTTAACTTTTTTTTTCTTAGTTTAACATTTGGGTATGAGGATCTAAAACTCTCATAATTTATTGAGAATATTGAGAATATATATCAGTCGATTGACACTTTTAAAGTGATGTTTTACTTTTAGGATTTTATTGCAACCATTTTATGAATTTTGCAACTAATTTCTCATTAGAAATGGGTATCATGCCAACCTAAACTAAGATATTCAATTTTTGTTCGAAGTTTTTATTATATCATAAAAAGTTAACGATATATGAAAAAAATATCAACAAAATATAATACATTTTAATCTTATTTAAAAATAGTGAAATGTTTATTTATTAGTTCAAATATTTTTTTTTGAATTTTTATAATTTGCAAAAAATATCTATCGATATTTTTATAATTATTTCCATTAACATTTCCATAAAATTGAGAAGCCAACTTTTCTATCATTATCGAAATTTAAAACTGTTATGAGGTAAAATGGCAACAAGGTAGGATGGACCGACCCATGGGAAGTGGGCCGAACCAAACAGAGCTCGGTCCCGACCCCTGCTCGGTACCGAGCCAGACTCGGCCCAAAGCCAAGTCTCTTCCTTCGTTTTCCTGTGATTGTTCCAAAACCTAGGATCGACACATCTCGGCCCGTAAACCCGCAAATATCCAAACCTGATTATAAATAGGGAGGGGTCACCCTCGAAGGTAAGCAAAAACCACACTTTCAAGTGCCTTACTTGTTTAGTGAATTCTCCTGTAGCTAACTTAGGCATTGGAGCCAGTGTAACGGAAGTCACACCGGGTTAGGTTTATTTAGTTTTGCAGGTATCCGATCTCGAAATATTCGAGTAAACTTTGCCTTGAAGACATGTAACTATTTGAACTTTTGGAGTTAATGTTTAGTTGGTGTCACGTTAACTCAAATAGTAAAACACATCAATAGCAAAACCATAATCTCATATCCCATGAAAGGGCTCGACTTAAACACCATTAACAATTCATCCAAATGCTTACAGGTTTCAAACACAACTACCATACTTTCTTCTACTATTGATCATCTAGCTCGATATCAATCCTATAAACAACACTCGTTCTTAATTAGTTATCGATAGCACGGTCAATTGAGGACATATGAATGAAACCTTAATTAATCAATTAGCCAAAAAAAAAAAATACATGTAGATATTTATGACGGAGGGGTTAATTGAAACAAATTAGTTTAAGTTACGTCAGGTGAAAAATTAGCATAAAATTCAGATATTACAGACATTACAACTAAAATAAACCTAGCTTTTCTCTGGTGCAATTTTAGGACTTTCCTCTGAAACATATAGAGAGATAGAAATGTCGACTTCTTTATGGAGCCTTAAAGATAGATTCTTTTTGTAATTACAGCTTTTCGCCAATCCTTCAAAATTGGAAGACGATAATGTTCTAGTTTTTTGGTCGACCCTTAGGCTGGTTCGTTTTGTTCTTGTGTCAATATTTTTCTCCCGCATCCAAACAAAAAAAGAAAAAAGAAAAACTCAACGTTATGTCAATGACAATATCAAACTAGTCTTGAAACAAAATAGGTACAAAAAATATATATATAAGCAACAATCTCTACTATCACAACACAAATATTATCAAAGAAACAAAGAAAAGAGAGACAAGTCAGTGCAATATTCATACAAAACTTGGTGTCAATGAGCAGTGTAAGATGAGGTATAATTTACACTGAGGACGTGGGAATTTTGTAGTGTTTCTTGAGAAATTGGGAGGCTTCTGAATCACCCCTATGACAAAGAATTCTCAACAAAGTTTTGGAATCTCCTCCTGGTTTGTGTCTGCTACTCTGAATCTGTCCACTAGCACATCTCAAGTCCTCAATCAATTCTCTGGTCTGAAAAACAAAACCACAGAGAGAGAGGAAAAAAACTCAATTTCATTACGTTTACGCAGAGTTCAGAATGGCATATATATGGTAAACATAGCAAAGAAAAAAAGAAAGTTGTTGTTCAATGGAACAAAACAAAGAACTCTTTAAATCATAACCAATAGTCTCTCGAACTTGAAGAAGTAAGAGTTACATCAGCAAATTATTCCTCTTGATTCCGCGGGTGTGCGGTGTGTTTAACAATTCATATGGCTGGGTCATATTAAAAATTGACGTGATTTAAGACCCGTTTGGTAACATTCTCGTTTCTTATTTCTCTTTCTTTTTTTTTTTTTTAATAAAGAAGAATAAAATGACATATCTAATTTTTTAATAAACAAGAAACTGGAACGTTACAAACAGGCTCTTTGTTTCTTATTTCTCATTTCCAATTTTTTGGAAACATAAGTGTCTGCCAATGGTTCATGAATCTTGTTTCTTATTTTTAAGAAATGTTTCTAAAATTGTATAAAAATTTCGGAAATAACAAAATCAAGTATCTTGTTTCTAGTTCAAGTTTTTTCTAAAACATAAATAAAAGTATTATATTTTATCATGACTTATAAATACAAATAATAAATATAATATAAAAAATTTGAATACTTAGTTTTAAAAATTAAATTTCATATAAAATATTAAATCTTTTAGTTTAAAATTTTAGACGTGGAGAAAAAAAAAATGGTTATCAAACATGTTTTTGTTTATTTTTTCAACAAAAAAAGAAAGAACAAGAAACAAGAAATAATTACCAATGCAGTTATATTTTAATTGATTAAAAAAGAGGAAATGAGAAACAAGAAACAAGAAATAATAACGTTACTAAACAGGTCTGGGAGGCCATTTTTTCACTATCAATCCAGTTCCTCAATGAAGCAAGAAGGTTTTTTTAATCGAAAAAAAAATTAAAAAAACTAACCTCATAACCATGCAACTTTATTACATCCCGTACATATGCTACCAGATTTTCGACCACCCCTCGTGGAAGCCCATCTCCTCCAGAAATGAAAAATTCCTAGCGATTGATAAGAAACTAAATCAATCTTCACGTATAACACTTATTACATTCAAGGAAACAAGGAAACTCAAACATTTTAAAGTTCCAAGAACCCCAAAATGAACATTTATAAGCCCTGAAATGAAGAAAGAATCACAACTACCTTTAAGACCTCTAAATCTTCTTCTAATAGCTTTGCATCACTGGTACTAAAAACTCGTGATGGCCCTCCATCTAGGATCACTCGAAGAAGGCCATCCTGAAAAGTTAAACCCATAGTTAAAAGCAAGAAAATAAATGGTAATTCGAATTGGATAGAGTGGCAAAGAATCGAAGTCGAGAGAGACAGAGTCAGGAAAATGGCAATAGCTGGCCTTGAATCTTTGATTTATCCTTCAAACAACAAAATGAAAATATATGTTTCCATATAACAAGGGAGAAGAGATTGACCAGTGATGCTTGAAGTAGGCTGGTTACAATGCGATCCCTGAGTGGCTCAACAATAATATCGCAGAGTTTACTAAGTTCCTGCACAATTGATCACTAATGTGAAAACTAAGAATCTAAGGTACCAATCACATTTCCATTATCGACATCTAAATGGGGAAAAACTCATAATTTATCAAAACTGAGGACTTTTTTCAGAATTCAAATTAAATGATACATTGGTGACAAAATTCTTGAAGATTGTATGAACAAATATTTCACCTCACACTGACAAAACTATCATTATACATGAAGACAGTAAGGAGACTCCTACCGTGTCGAGGGGTTCAATTAGAGCTTCCAACCTAGAATGAGAAACACTAGGTTTATAGAGGCCATCAATGAATGGTTCCCTCAAATCCCAGAAGACAATTTTTGTTCCTGAAAATAGCGATTTTGAGTTTTCCAGAGATAAAAGTTCCATGAAAATTGACAATGATGAAATCCTACAGATCTTACCAGTAAACTCACAAAGGCGATCTGTAGCAATATTTATATCCTTCCGGCTTCCATCAAAGGATTCCTTTTTCTTGGTGCCATTTCTCGATACTTCATCTATAGATTTATCTACCCAGAAAATAAAAATCAATATTCACGAATTATTATTGTATGATAAAGTAGGTTTGTTATTGTACAATGTGGTTCTGTAAAAGATAAAATTTGGAAGTTTATAAACATTATGAGATTTATAAGTGACTCTGTTATTGATGAAATACACAACATAGCTAGAATGCTTTTTTTTTTTTCTTTTGATAACTGGGAGTTTAAGTTTTGCTCCCCTATACCAGGGATACCTTCACCCGCCTCAAGGCCCAGACCCGAGAAGCATCAAAGATGTTTGGTATTAAGCTCACCAGAAGATTTGAACTTGAGACCTCTAAACCAGTATGATTAAGAGACCACAGGTCCTTGCTAACTAGGCTGTCCATTGGAGGTAGCTACAATGCTTTTATATTCCCTTATTCCAACGTTGTATGTCTATTTTTAGATGTAGGTAGTGAACCAAGCAAGTGGATTCCGATGTTGTTGAACAGGGCTCAAACAATTCGTACTTTTCATTCTTTTTCATCATAAAAATTTCCTTTGGGTAATGGTTTAAAAAAACAATTTTGATAAGACGTTGAGCACAGTGGTCTGTATATTACTTCTATTCTTCACTAATCTCAACAACCTTTTCCTCATTCATGAATTTGTTTCGTTCTTTAGGAAATTAAACTACAGAGATAAAAAGAGTTTGATTCTGGACATCTGTAGCAAATCATATCAGATTTATTTGGATAAGAAACAATTAAGTTTCTATAGCAAGAGTTTTCTTTATAATTATTAATTTTTTTTTATAATTGTATTTTTTTTTAAATTTTTTAACAAGAAACAACAAGATGAACAGATATTAAAAGCTCAAGGATATGGAGTGAAAAGAACAAAACACCCAGCCAAACTAAAAATACAAAGCCAAAGTAACTAAAATAGCAGGAGTTATTATATCAATATGTAGCAACTCTTCCAAGCCTATCGTTACATGCTATTACAAAGTTGAGTATAAGGGGCTTCCTTCAGAGCTTCATGTTTTCCGATGACTATAGGCTCTTTTGAGGGTTAATTCATGTGACATTAAAATTGAATAGGAAACGAGCCTCATTTTTTTTTCTCACAAAGGATGCATTTTACATATAGGGATTATGGAATCCATTCATTGTTTATTTTTGCATTGTCCATATTTTTAATTATCTTGGTTCAAAATTTTCAATAATTTTGGATGAGTTTTCTGTTTGCAGAACATCTACTAGCCAGTTTAGAAATTATTTGGTTGTAAATTACCAAAAGGACCTGCAATTTGAAATACTGCAGTTGCAGCTTCGTTTTAATTGCTCAGTGGAAGATACGTAAAGAATTTATAAGACAAAGACGAAGGTCTTAATTGTCCATGCAAAAGAGTAGAATTTCTGCCCTTTTGGGCTTGCAATTCAAAATATTTATCAATATATTGCATGAGTAAATTTTTTCAATTCGTTTTACTTGGTTGCAGGATTCCTCATCCTCCTATAACTAAATCATTTTTTATTAATAGTGTTTCTGCCATCCTAAAGGGAAAAAATCACCACGCATTTAGCAAAACGGAGTTAAACAAATATATAAATTGAAAAAAATAAGAGCTTAAAGGTATATGCACGTACGATTTATTTTGCTTGTCCAACGGTCCCAGATGCTATCCTCCAACTTGTTCAGCTGGCTAATTGCATACTGTGAATAGCAACAACAAAATTATGATTATAACTTCATGAATTGGAAATGAAGGATCAGTGACGTAGAGCCTACGGCTAATTGTTTCTATAGCTTAACCACAACAAAATATAACCATTTTGAATAGTGGATGGTATTACTAGTTTTTTCTTTGACAAAATCAAAGAGAACCCAAGAAGTAAAAGAATCAAGATTGAAAACTGACATCATTTGCTTTCTATTACTTCTGGAGGGGTTCTTCCCTCCAATAAAAGATTATTGGTATAAATATTTAGACCTAATTAGTATTTTCCTTAAATGGTTGACATGGTCTCTGCTAGCAAATTAATATTTTAAGCATGTACAGAGTGAATACAAATTATTAATCACTCTGTTCTTCAATTTTCACATTGTATCAGATCTTTCTGATCCATAAATCTCAACCCCAACCGTAACCCTAACCCTAACTCAAGAAGCTGCTGCCTCCTCCATTTTTCCCCCTCCAGAAACCTAATATGACATGTTTGAAAGTAGAGAGATTAATAGACTGACGAGAACATCCTAATAGAGCCACAGAATCATAGAATCTTCTCATTAGAAATCAGTTCACAAGAGTTTAGAGACTTTGGGTTTGAGAGCCGCTATGCTAAGTCCACTTTTTGAGGATACCTATGTGGTGGAAGAGAAAGACAACAAAGGTTCTCAGGGAATCCTGCAGAAGTTATTAAAACTCAAGCCGATTAGAAATTAGTATCTCGGGTAAAACTAACTAGACCCAGTAAAACACCATGAAAGAGAATATCAATAAAGCACGAAATTAAATGGTTGTGACCATGTTAAAGTAACTAACCACGTGACAAACTTGGAAGGCTAGGAAGGTTAGAAGCCAGACTTAAAGTTTATTTAAACAAAGAAAAAAGATCTGTTGAAGATAGTGGGCCGCCACCCTCCTTGGATTTCACTCCTCTGCCTGATCCTTCTATTGAAGCCCAACACACTTTCCAACCCATTCTAAACCTCTACGTAGAGCTGGAGCTCAAGCTCACAGTTCAATAAATCTATTTTCCTGCACTAGCAAACCAACGATCACCTTCCACCTTGATGAAGGCAAGACCTTCTTCTCTACTTCTGAAGCTAGGACTAGCCCAAGACTGTTTCTCTCCTTCGATAAACCAATGGGCTGATCAACCAATTGACCTGAATTCACCCGAGGGATTCTCCTTCAACCATTCTGGATGAATGGTCTCCCCTCTCTCTTCCTTGACCCCCTAGCGCTTAAAGGAATTCACCCTTTCCATGATGATCATCTTAAGTTAACAAGATGCACAAGGGAGCTCAGAAATATTACAGATTAATGCAGGTTGAAAAATAAAATAAAATTGAATCCCATTAGATAAACTAAAACAACAGAACCACATGAGAAAAGTTTTACTCGGTGAACTTAAGCCTGGGAGTCAAAATAAGTTGTGATCATCTTAAGTTATTACCATTAAAGAATCATTGCAAAAACATACAGAACAAAAACTGAAACCAGTCTACGGGAAAATTAACTAGATATTAATTATCCAAAAGCAATGTCGACACTATATATAACAACTGAAACTCACATATAATGTATTCAACTGAACGCAAAGTGTTGGTGTAGTCAACACGTTAATTTCAGTAGATCTCCTTTCATCAGACATCTTGGAGTCAAATATTTCCTTCTTCACAAAAGCTTTTATTCCAGCTTCCTTCTTGTATCTTGTGAGAATTGGAAGAGGCGGAATGAGGTCCTCCTTGTTTGCTGAACGACATAATTAGATAGGCCCTAAGTTACTTATAATTTTAGAGCAAAAACCATGAAAAGAAAAAGAAGCGCAAAACTCAAATATAATAATATGATGAGTATAGTGAAGGAAGAGGGAAAACATGCACATGTATGAGAGAGATATTTGGAAACTTCCCCATAAAAATTTCAATGTAGGAAAAAAAGATGAATGGAGGAGAGAGAAAAAAAACATCAATAAAATAGTTAAACTAATAATAACAGTTGCATCGTCAATGATGACGACGAGGATGAGGTATGGTCCTTCCGTAAGCAGCAGTCTTCACTATTTTATGGAATTTATGGCTTGAAAGAAATAGGAAATATTTAGAGATGCTGAGGTCTTCAGGGAGGGCTACCTTAGCGGTCTCATTAATTTACCCATTATTTTTTATTCTAAAAAATTAGAGCAACTTCTGGTAATCTCTTCTTTTTCTCTCTCTCTCTCTCCTAGGCCCCTTTTTGTCTTTCATTCACCCTTAATAAAAGCAGGTCTCTTATCAAAGAAGAAAAAAATGGAATAAAAACTTGAATGAGTAATTAAATCAAAAGTGTGAATGCAACACATACCCAACTTCTCAATGACATGACTGGCGTACACCTGAAATGCATTGTCAATACCACGAAGCAAGCAATTAAGTTCAGTCAGCCTCATTGGGACTTGAAGAGCAAAAAATTGATCCACAGTCTGCATAAAATGGCCAAATATCCTTATAAGAAAAGCAAGTTTGATGGGCACGTACATACATATGTGCACGCGCACACATATTTAAAAGCATCGCAACAACTATTCAAGACATTAGCAGATAATTTCTAAAAGATTAAGATATAATGCAACCAAAAACAGCAAAAAGATTAATCATCTCAGAACTTTCGTTCCAAGAAGCTTGTTTGTCTTCAGAATACATTGTTTATTTCGATGAAAGCTCCACAAGAGTGCTTTGACCTCCTTAATCCAAAATAATAGAACTTAACTTTTCAACCCAGGATCACATAACAGAGCAGTAAAATTGATTCTAGCTCTTTAAATGGACAAAACCATAAATACCCAAAACCTTTGAGGGCTAAAATCCCAGTGGTCCGTAAAAAAACATTGCCAATTACACATAAGCCATAGACCAAAAAAACAAAGACATCAACAACACTCTCCTCTTCAACATCTTCAATCTGACAGACCCCAAATTACCGGTCTATTCACATAAGAAATTAGGAAGGAAATGGACATGTAATATGTAAGGGGCGTGTGCTCAGCTGATCTTGTGGGCCCAAGGGAATATTGTTAGTTGGAGGGAAGGGAGTGAAGTGAGCTTCTGGGGAGGTTTTAATACTGTTTTCGTGGATAGGAAGGCAGGCTTTTAGTATCTTTTCTTTAAGGCTCGTATTTTGAGTGTTTGAGGAAGAGTGGGGAGCTCTCAAATCTTCGTGGTTTGGCACTGTATTCATAAAAAAAGTCGGGTCTTTCAACAATCATGACTTCAACTGGACTATTAAAAAAAAAACTATACTTACTATCTCAAGATATGAAAGTTATACAACCATGTGAAATTTTTTATGACACTTGTGGAATCATAAAAAAACCAACCAATTATTTCTTCAATCTTTAATTGTTCATTAGCATTACCCAATGCCACAGCCAAAATATGCCAGCAATAATAATGGGCATTATTTTCCAACAACGTCACAGTTACACATACTTATTTGTGATATCTACTCACCAGGAGGCTAATCTAGATCGATCCAATTGCCAGACCTTTTTGAGCTATCTGAAAATTAGGTTTTCCATTTTATAATTCATGCAACCTGTAGCCCATACAGAGATCTCCATATAGTAGGAGTTAATCTATGAGAGCATGGATAAAGCTGATTTATAGATTAAAGTATAATAGGTTTCAGACAACCAAACAAACTTCTTTCTGAACTACGTATTTTTTAATGATAGTGGTCTATCTGTAGATCTACTAAAGTAAATAAAAATTTAAGACAAAGTCACACCCCCGATCTAAAGGATTTTAACCGTCAATCTCATTGTGTGCCTTTGTTTATACAACGCCTGCAGATTTTAGCAAGCACAGTGATATAGGCCAGTGTTCACGCCCTCAGAAAGAATCACAAGAATGTAATAACCATCAGCAGTGTAATGTAAATTAGCTTCAAGTGAACATTCAGAACCAGGAAAAAATGTCATGAAGAACATAAAAGAATAACAACCATACCTCCTCAACCATCCTATAAACTTCAACAATTGAATTTCCGTGACGCTGCTGAGGTGATATTGGAATCCATCGCTGTTGGAAAAGGATATAGAATATCGATATACAGCTTGCAATTAATGCATTAAAGAGTTCAATAGAAGCAGGGATTACAAGAAAAAAGCAAGCTGTTTGGAAAGAAAATAAAATAAACTTATCAAAATCACGTATTTGACATGAGACATCTTTAAGTTTTTCACCCTTATTCTTCTATATATTTTAAGCTGAAGTGGCAACAATTTATTCGTTTTATAAGTCAAAATATGCTTACGTGGAAAATTTAGTAATTAAACCTAAATTTATTGATTTATTAAAAATAAAAAATTTTAAAGAAATGAACATCAAGCACTAACATCAAAAAAAATTTCCAACAAAGAAATCACACCTTTAGGCCCTCATTCTATCAAACATCAAAAAACCCACAATTTTCAGTAGAAAGAAAAACCCTCACCCCCGCCCTTTTCTTCCTCCTATAGGTCCTATTCATCTTCTCCAGAAAAATCTGAGAAGTCTCGAAAAAAGCATTTTAATGGAAGATTCTCAATTTTGTTTTCAAAGTTTTTTTTTTCTTTTATATAAAAGACAATAGTTTCATACAGCAGATCAGAAGTAAGCCAAAGAGACATAACTGAGTGGATTCTTTTTATTTTACCATGCCTGTAGACCATATGTCACTTGGACCAACCTCTACGTCAAAACTCGCGACCAAGAAAGTAACTGAGACTAAGTAAGAATGGTCTAGCAGTTATTTACAAAACAGTCTTCAAATACTAGTCTTAGTTGTGATGCTTTCCAAATGCAATGCAAAACTATAATTGAATATTAATGCAACTGCCCACTTCTTGTTATATTTATCTGAGCAACATAATTCCAACTCCAAAGTTCTGGATGAATGGTAGAAGAAGAACGATACAGATTAGTAGGAAGTTTACTGAAAAAAAGTTATGTACTTGCCTCTTGTTGAATAGCTCTTTCCACCCATCCCATGATCCGTCCAAGCTGTGAGTTGACCCATCGCAGCACCAAGGTTCCAGATATAGATTCAATCTAAAAAAATTGGGAAAGGTTGATATGGTGAGAACACAATAAAGATATCCATGTGCGGAACCAAGTTCAGGAAGGCAATAGCAATTTTAAGATTTTATATCCAAAAGAAATTAATTTAAAAATTTTCTAACAAAAGAATTGATTGCAAAATTTGCTAACCAATTCATCTTCTTTATTTATTAGAATTGAATTTATTAAAGTTTTTCTTCCTAAAAATTTTTTACTCAAGACAAATAGGAGGAATTTTAGGATGAGGAAATGTCTTGGGAGAGATTTGGTCTTCGCCTAGGTTCAACAGCTCCCCTTAGGGGACGGTAACCAAAGTATTCTATAATTATCTTTTGTTTCGTGAGAGCTGAAATAAATTGAAAATTTTCTTCTCCATCTCCTATCAAATTATCTTTTTTTTTCTTATTTTGAACTTTTTTTTTATACCTGTGAGTATTTGAGTCAACCTACACGCACCTCGACTAAACAATCATTAAGTCCAAAGGTTACCAAGAAAACTCGTAGGATATTAAATCCTAGGTAGGTGACTACCATAGTTTGAACTTATTTCTACTAAATTCTTTAGAATTTACCTTGGACCCTTTGGACCACTAGGCGAACCCATGATGGTTACAAACTTTTTTTCCTTTTTTTTTTTGTCTCGACTCCTTTTGTTTTTTTGGGCTGATATTTTGCATTGCTCGATTGTATATCTTTTCATTCTCTATGAAAGTATAAATTTATCTTTGTTTCTGCATTTGGTGCATGTAACCGGAGCGTAGGAAAGAAAGATAAGTCAAGGTTCTACAGCCTGCTAAATATGGGGTCCTCAACAATACATCAGGAGCATATCTTTCTTATTTTCATTATTTCTTTTCTAAGATAAGAGGAATATATTCACAGAAAAGGCCTAAAGTAGGAAGGGACCACCTCGCCAAGAGGGAAGGATCAAGCCCTCAAATCGAGATTAATAGTGAAAATAATGTAGTTACAAAATAACTTGTGTCGGAGTTCCAATGTGAGGCTATTAACTGTACAAGATCACGAAAAGGCTCTTATGAATTTGTCTTATCTGTGAAACAATTGGAGCCGATCTTTTCTTGTTTCCTTTGGATGCTGATAGAAGTTCACCGCTAACGGTATCCCTTGAATCCTCAACTAATTATCATCTGATGGACAATTCCATAGCATGATATAATAGCAAGCCTTGTAATCCTTTCAGAAAATAAAGTGCAATTTTCCTACTTAAAAACCAATAATTCCCCATTTTATTATATTTAACAATTAACATTGCCTCAACATTAGAACATCTTTTCTTGATTTCTTGGCAAATCTTTAAATATTGTTTGTATTGTAATCTTGATGTTTAGGTTACACTCTTGTATTCAAGTACCCTAAGATGTTCATTTTACAGCCTATAGCTTTTCCTAGCTCTTTTACAGCAGCTAACTTGTTGTTACCATTGCTGTTAGTTAGTTACTAGGCTGTTACTGTAGCCTCTCTATTATAAATAGAGGCTGCTGTGATTCATTTGAGGCATTATTCAGAAAATTCAACAAAAATCCTCTCACTTGAAAACATCAATTTATATCATCTTTTCTCGAGGTAGAAATTGTTCCCGTCATAATCTCAAAAGGAATTTACCCACTTATGAAGGAAKGGAAGTGAAGATACTTTTTAAAAAAAACAAGGAGAAATTGTTAAGCAACACATGATGTCTAACCTGGTAAAGAGCAAGTTTTCTGATGTGTATCTCAGCACCCTGCTCTTCACATGCAGATGTGATAAGGGCTAATATATACTCCTCGAGGCTATTGGCTGCCGGAAATACAGATACAACATCCTCCGTCAGATGTTCAACTCCATCAAGGAAGGGTTTCTACGAGGTTTCCAATGAACTTTAGATTTCAGAAGAATACTCCACTACATCATGGACTAAAAAGACGGGAATTATGAAATTAACTTGTATTACAAAAAAAATGGCCATAGTCTTACCAGTCTGTAACCATAAAGTTTATGGAGAAGTGATGCTGAAACAATTGTTGCTTGAGCGTCCCTCTGAGATAAAATTGGTATGAAAAGAGATGAATCCCTCTTTAGAAGTTTTTTTGTTTCTTCAGCAAGCAAGGCTAGAAAATGTTCGTGATTTGTCTCAGATTTCTCCAAAGAATGCAAAATCTGCACAATAAAACAATTAGTAACATGAATAACATTTGATGCGGGGAAATGAAGTTTGTCAACTGTTTGCAGTTCCTTTGGAAGGGAGTAGAGTACAATTACAAAATAATGGATGGTTGAGCAGTTAATCTCAAATCGTTAACCAAAATCTTGCAGTTGGAAGACGTCAAGATAAGCTTTTACTAGAAGAATATCTCCGAACTTCCACTCATGTGATAAATTATATGTGGGCGGTGAAAAAAGGTGAAGTTATTTTCTTCGTTTCAAGCCCCCCAGAAGCTTAAAACCTCAGCCAAAATTCAAAAAATAAACCTGATTAATTCACTATGCTCCCAATAATGGGTAATAGATATTGATCATAACCCAGCTCGGGCTCTCAAATAAATAGTTTTTTGTAATTACTCTCTTGCGATTCTGTTGACCAACTGGGATCTTTTATGTATACCTCTTGATGAAATTCAGTTTCTTTTTAAAAATATATTTTGTGGTTTCTCTCTCCTAAAAAAGGGCTGGATCAGTATTCAGATCTTATTTCTTAGGCTTATTTACGTAAATATCTCTCTGTATAGCATTCCTTCCTTGTAATCAGCGTTTTCCCTTATAGTGTATTTCCTATACCATTAGTTATAAAATATAGCTGTCCATTCGTAGACAAATTGAGAGAGAATTATGAATTTCTACTTGATGGGGAATTCCGCATTAACTTTATCTTTTTCTTATTTTCAAACTTTTACATCAACTTTTTGCTAATGTGTTCCTTTTATCTCCCTTCCCAGAGTCCAAACTTTATTTGGTGGGAAGGACAAAAAGAAAACCCATTCCCAAACCTCACCAACTTCCCCATGGCCCATGCTAACTCCTTAAAAATTTTCATAATTCTTCTTTCTAAATTTTCAGAAGATCACTACCGCCAAATTCACCAAATGATCCTCTGAGACCTCCAGTGTTCTAACTAGAGAAGTCTCCCACCATTTTAGGTGGCACCCAAGAGAGATCGTAAACCTCAAGAAGTTTTCACCAAATTGAAGTCTAGAGGCAACGTGGCAAATTAATTCATATCATTCTAATGTTTTTTAAAAATTAGTTCGCAAGTAAGGGTTTAACAAAATTGTACCACAATCTCTGTAACTTACTTCCATCCATCAAGCATCAGCCAGAAATTAAACCACAAATAATTTAATCGCTTACTCTGGAAAACGCATTCTTAAGGGATGATAATATATAGGATTCAATCTGCTCTTTATCTGTTCTAGACATTGATTCCGCAGCCTGTAAAGAACATGATAAATAAACTTTAAATATTTCATATATGTGAAGCATAAGTAGAAGAAATAGAAAATGGAAAAATTAGTGCAATGATTGAATGTTGTTGGAAAATGCATTATTAACATCCAAAAACTTCCAAATTAAGGACCTCTTTCTTTTTTTCATGTTAGACGGTCATGCATACTTAATCTAGAAGGGTAAAAAGGGAACTGTAGGTTTAAGAGCTGGTTAAAAAAGAGATAGCACTTTAACATGTACGTGCCGTGAGTGCACGGTGTCCATCATTTTTTAGAAGTTTCTGTTGGAGAGAAGTAACATCTCAAAGACTACTATTCCTCTATGTTCAAGAGCTTACTTGTACTAGAGGATAGTTCCAAAATAAAAATAATACACTACAGTTTTCTAGCCTGTGTGAAGAGAAGAACCCATCACTGATAAAATTATTTGGAGCATTCATGTCCTAAAAAAGTTGACATACAGCTTCAGATTCTTCCAAAAGCAGCCTCCTGGCAAGCATTGCAACGGTGACAATATTCCCCATCTTTCTAGGATCCTGCAAGGTGCAAAAGAAATATTACGATACTAAATACCAATCTATAGATGCTGCACAACAGAACTTTATATTTAGAAACACTAAAAAGAATTAGGGAAGAAGGAGAGAGAGCACTTAACAATCATCTAAAAGGCATATATCAAAAGAGTTCAACCCACTATGGAAAGCAGAAAACTTACAATGATGACAGAAACGGATGAGTTAACTGGGTTAATTTTTGTGATAAGCCCTAAACGTAAAAAGATGATACAAACACAAGACGACTCTACCTAATTGTCTTCTGACAATCTATATCCCATTACCCACAAAAAGCCGGTTACTGAAATATATAAATGGAAACCAGTCATAATAGCTTTAAGTTTCCAATAATTCAAATTCAGGCATAATACTTGCAATGATTGAACAGAAAAGAGCAATTTTCAAGTCTATTTGTAAACAGAACCAATAATTTCATTCGTTAGGCACCAAAGCTAAAGCCCTTACATACTTTGTCCTAGAAAAAGTTTCCTACTTATCAAAGTTAAAACCCACTTTCCCAGTCCAAGTTTTGCAACCAGGAAATAGTTTACCGAACCTCAGAAAAGTGCAGATGGTAGTCTCCTAGCAGCCTATCAGCCCAACTCTGGATTGGAACAATAAAGGATTTTAGGAAAGAGAAATCTCGAAAACTCCCTTCCTCTTCAAGTTCTGAATGCAAACTTTTTAAGTGTAACCTCTCCTGAGGACCCCTTTGTTCCTTCAATGGTATTTTCTTCAACTGCTCAATTGCATGTTGCAGCATTCCTTGCTCAGACGTAATAACAAACTGTAATACAAGATGAAAACATGATGATCAAAATTATAACTAATAAGAATATTAAAATCAAAGAAGCTTGATCCATTATGTCAGAAAAAAGGCAACCCACTAATTTTTATTTGTCAGAAATTTAGTAGATTCAATAATTCTTTTCTCATATAGAACTTTCTTTCTTATGAAACTAAATATGTATTTCATCTCCATGATTCAACCTCGTAATGCATTCTCTGTAAAAGATAAGCACTCCATATCCTATCTTCTACTGAATTTTTTACGCTTCTAAGCTCTATTCACTATGCTTTCTGTTTTTCACGTTGTCTCATAAATCAAAAACTAATTGCTAAACTTTTCATATGATAATTTAGTGATGTCATACCTGACGAAACAGTACCCACATAAAGCAGGTGTAATGGATGGTCTCTGTGATTCCTAGAATACGCCATGTTGACTTCAAGAGTTCGAGGATTTCTTCTATCTCCTAAAAATATAGATGAATTAGGATCAACCATACAGATCAAGAAGAATGCCACGATAATGCATTTAATTTTTGTTTCAATAATAAATGTAAAGTAGAAGAAAAAGTTAGGGTAGCATCCTTTCTGTTTCAATATTTCTTTCTTTTTTTTCTTATAAAAACCGAACTTTCACAGAGGAAAATTGAAGAATACAAATGGACCTACAAAAAGGATAGCATCTCTGAGCTGCTAGGTAAAGTGGAACGAGAAGTCGTGACAGTATATTAATATAAACAGAATACTATTCAATTTCACAAAGCTGTGCTCAAAGTCCCTACCACACTGAAGCAGGAATATGGAAAAAACTTATAAAAGATGGTAAGAATTTTGGTAAATTTGAAGATTACTGGTGTCGTTGCCTTGTCATACAATCATAGCAAATGGTATTTGACAAACCAAAACAGAGCACTAACCTCAGTCAACTTTCCCTCGTCTAACATATCGAAGACACTAAGAAGAAGTTTCTCATAAAGCCTGACATTGAGATGATAACCATCAGCCCAATGACAGACTTCACCAGTTAAGTCTCCCCGAGCTGGCCTCTCAGCAAGTGAAATGGAAATCTCTCGGAGGGACCTCAAGCATTCTATTCGTTGGAGTTCTCCAGTGGAAGGTGGGAGAGACTGAAAATTAAATAAACCAAAACGTCAGCTACAATAATAAATAAAGATATATTGAAAAAAAATGCCACAGCAACAATTCTTTTCGAGAACTATACTTTCATTTTCATAAAAAGAAGTTACAAGAATATTAGGGAACGACCAACCTGATTCTCCCAAAAAAATGAAGATATCGGAAAAAACCTCATCACATAAATGAGAGGAGACCAAAAATGTATTCTACCTCAACCTACACCCACTCTATCTCACTATGTTTATTTTTAAAATATTTTTATTCCTATCCTTCCAAATCTCCCACAAATTACCAACACTGTATTCATCCATGGGAATAGAATAAAAATGTAAAACCTTTCTAGCCATTGGTTTTATAGGAATCTAATATCTAGACTCTCATCTTTTTTAAATAAACCAAAACGTCGGCTGCAAAAAATAAATAAATATATATACCCCTCCCATGGAGAATTTGGTTACAAATTTGGGGGTCTGAGACATTTTTTTTAAACTACCCATCGATTAACAATTGGAGACTCTTTTTTAAATTTCTGGCCCCTCTTTTGGGCCTCTCATTTTGTAAGGTCCTTGCTCTTGCATTCCCATTTTCTTTAATGAAAAATAGTTTTCCAATCAGGGGAAAAAGGACATCATAAAAACAAAATTACAAAATTCAATTGCAGGGCGACTGTGGAGGAAATTTTGGTGTATCCCCTTCCCGGAACAAGGGCGAAATGCCAATGAAAAAATAGTTTTCCAATCAGGGGAAAAGGGACATCATAAAAATAAAATTACAAAATTCAATTGCAGGGCGATGGTGGAGGAAGTTTTGGTGTATCCCCTTCCCAGGATAAAGGCAAAATTCTTTGGCAGTCATGTTTTTTTGCCATCTTGTAGGATATTTAGATGGAGAGAAACAATAGGTTAGATTTAATACTTCCTTGTGGGCCTCAGTTACGAGAGATTTTTGTAATTATCATTTAGGTGTTATTCTGGTGGATTGGAGCCCCTCTTTGTAGGGTTGGCTTTTTTTTGTTGCGCGAGTTTTTTTTGTAAGCTCTTGTATATTCTTTCATTTGTCTTGATTAAAACTCGGTTTTTTATTAAAAAAAAATAATAACATAAAAATTGAGTAAATAAGTAAAGTTTGATTAAAAATAAAATTTTGAGAATAACAAACACACCTCAGATTCCTCGATCTTTGACAATAGAATTCTCAACTCACTTGCCTTGCGCCCTGACTCCCCAAATCCCACAACAGGGTGATTAATAAGCCCCTCCTCCAATATGTTCAACTGTAGTACGCACACACAAAATCACACTCGGCATGAAAATTGTGCACTTAAACGTGTCCAATCAAAAGTTCATCATAAAATTTATAAATAAAGAGAGAACAAGTAAAGAGGAAGAAGAAACTTACCTGCCTTTTTTGCCAGCGTAAAAACGCTTTTCTATCAGAAAATTCTGTTTTGGAGATACAAGACAACAATTCCAGAGGAACTAACAGGGTATCCATTCTTTTTCCTACTTTGCCTGAAAGGGCATTTAGGAGGCCTTTCCGTGTTCTCACATCCATTGACTCGGATATCTGCAAATATATTAGAGTTAAACCGAGCAGCAAAAATGAACTAAGAAGCTTTCCTCCAATCAGAGAGACAAATTTATTGAAAAAATTATAAGTATGGTAGAAATAATAAGCAACAAGATGACATAACCTTCTTAAAACAAAAATAATACAAAGATACATCAGCCGACAACACAAATAAGCAAAGAAAACGAGAGTCAATACTAAAATTCCTACCCAAAAAAAACAATCATCTAGACTCCAACCCAAACATCTTGAATATCTTTTCCTCCTCGGATAAATGACAATTTATTTTTTAGAAAAGAGAAGTAAAAAAGGATAACTGATAACTTTTTTCCATTTAGAACATATCATGTTCTTAATTACAAAAAATATTTGACAAAGAACCATATCGAGCCAACAAGATATATAATGTCCCATTACTCTTCAGCCTCTCAAGACATATAAGTGAAATTCACTCTTTTATTCTCCCTAGGGGAGCGGTTATCTGATCAAATCAGTGTATATTTTCATACATCAATGAAAATTGTTTATGT